CCTGGCTTCCCCAGCAGCCCTTTCCCTTGGCTGGTTTAGTCTGTACCCTTTCAAGTTGGAGGGTGGTCTCAGGGACCCCCATGCAGTCTGTCATGCTTGCTTTCACCAGAAACTCACCTTGGCAGGGCTTCAGGGGAAGGGTTGGGATTTGGTGACAAGTGACTCCATGGCCTGGGGCCAAGCACAACATCTACTTAGGTTTTCAGGCGGATGCCCAGGTATGTCTAGCACCTAATGTAACTGAGGCATGAAATGTCTGTGTGCCACGATGCTTCAGCTTGTTACGGGCAGTTAGGCCTTGTGGTGGTTCTCTCTTGGTTTCTCTCTTGGTTTCTGTGGAGAAGCCAGACCCCGCTGTGGTTGGCAAGGAAGGTGAGTGGAGATAGCAGGAGTGTCCATCCCTCAGGAGCCCTTTCTAGTGGAGCGGCTGCCTCTCTCTGATCCTTGATTCATCCCAGGGCAACCTCTGCTCTCCTGGGCAGTCCTTAGAATACTCCAGAAGACCCCAGTACAGCTGTCCGGTTCCTCCTGGACCCCAGCTCTCAGGAATGCACCATCTCTGCACTCTCCATGCGCGCCCATCCAGACGGCACCTGAGCTTCCCCATGCCTGTGCTACAGGGTTAACATCTTGCTTGTGTTTTAACCTGTGTTGCTTTGGTTTAAAACTTGTTTGGCCGTGTTATTTGCTGAGATGGCCCAGAGAAGCTTCTACTTATGATCAGGACACCTCACAGTGCAGCCTTCACTTGAGGACTTAGGTCTCATCCAGGTCCACACAGTCCAGGGCCACGGACGCAGAAGACAGAGGAGAAGAACCTCATGGCACGAAGACAGAGTATTGATTGCCCAGGAGGCTTCCAGGGGCTTTGGCTCCTGGGGCTTCTTGTCAGCGCTGGGTCAGAGCAGGTCACCCTGGTGTGCAGACACTAGGTTCCTGTACACAGCGGTGAAGAATGGGGGAAGACCAGATGGATTTGGGTGAGGCAGGGATGCTCCTTGGTGTTTAGAGTTTGTGGGTTCTCTGTAGCTTATCTTTGTTTTTTGTAATACTAGTTTCCGGTAATTCTGACCTTTCCGAATACCTCTATATACATATGCCTGCCTACTCTCCCTCCAGCTACCTGTAAAGCCTGCAGAAACGTATTCCTGCAGATTATCACTCTATTCAGCCTAACAGATGCTCGTGGAGTGTTGCTGTGTGTGTGCCACGGGTTCAGGGTTCAGGTGCACCTGCCTTTGTGGGAAGAGCACAGCTTCCCTGCATAACTGCTGGAGGGTGGGATCTTCCCAAGGGGAAGTTGGGAGGTGCTCAGGCAGAGTAAACGGATTTAAGTTCTGGGCTGGAGAACATGGTACCCCGTGGGAGGTGCTCAGGCAGAGTAAACGGATTTAAGTTCTGGGCTGGAGAACATGGTACCCCGTGGGAGGTGCTCAGGCAGAGTAAATGGATTTAACTTCTGGGCTGGAGAACATGGTCCCCCGTGGAAGGCTCCCTGAGGAAGGAAAGGAAGGAGCTGGAGGGAGGGTATGTGCGTCTTAGGAGGGGACGCACTTCAGGTGAGAGCAGGCACGGCACTAGGAGGAGCCCCATGAGCCCAGAGTGATGACTCGTAGAGGCCTAAGGGACCATGCCAGCAGACCCCACCGCCCGTGCTCCACCGGGAGCCTGACATTGTTCTCTGAGATCGGGGGCTGTCTCTGTGTGCTGCCCAGGACTGTGGCAATTTTGTGTATAGAAAAAACAACTGTGTGTCTAACACAGATGGGGTATGAGGAGAGCCACTGGTCTTTCCTGACATTAACAATATGTTTTTAGTTGATTTTCAGTGAGTATGGAAGTTATTGAAGGTACAGATCACTCTGAAAATAGGCTCTTGTGTGTGAAGGTCATCAGTGAATCTTCACCCTCATAATTGGTAAATGGTTGTGAGCGCTCAAGGGTATCAGATTCTACAGTGAATCCGAGGATAGCACAGTCTTCCTATTCAGTTTCAGGGAAAATCATATAAAGCCCAGACCGTAATTTGTCAGGAATGTTTGCAGTGTGGTGACGGATGTCTTCACCGTGCTTTGGGATGATTGCTGAGGGAGAACGGAAGGAGGGGTCTGGTACTTGCACCTTTCGGTAGAATTAGTGTGAATGCCACAGCGACCGAGCTGTGCTCAGGTGTCTGCCGGCAGTGGTGGCCTTGACGATGGATTTTCTGAAATGGGAATTTGTGAAGTTCTCTAACAAAAGTAAGTGCAAACTTCTTAACTTGGCTGGTGGCTGCATCCTTGAAAAATTCCGTGTGTAAAATGATACAGAACCATTTCTCAGTTATCTGTTAAATAAGAGTACGCGTCCAGCCACGATGACTGTGGACGGCCATGGAGGTCTGGCAGGCCACGGAAGACTCCCATACTCAGCAGAGGGTGACCCACCAGACAGTGCTTTGGCTCCTCCCAGGGGTCATGGCAGCTGACACGTCACCTGGAGTGTCTAGAAAACCACTACCCTAGAGCCCCTACTGCCTTTCCCGAGGCCTCCAGCTATAGATCAGGAACTCGGTGTCCCAGAAAGATTTTCCTTTTACTTTAACTCCTGTTGTTTGTTTGCAGGCACGTGGACTCCCTTTAATCCAGTGACTGTCAGGTCGATCATATGTAAGTATCGGCAGACGGACACGCCTGGGCTTCTTTGTATCCGACCCGCTTGGGCACCCGCTTGTGTTTCCTTTGTCTGTGGGTCCGTATCACTTTCCTCCCTTCTGGAATTCCACTTAGATGAGCGTAGGCCCTTTCATCCCTCTCCCCCCGTCTCTGTACCTTTTCATGTCTCTCCGTGTCTGTTTGCTTTATTCTTTATTCTGATTATTGTTAATGTACTGTTTGTTTAACCTGTCCTTTCAGTTTCTAATTCTAAAGATGACATATATTTAAAATTTCTAAATCACTAGTTACTTTCACATCTTATCTGGGTGTTTTTGATAGACACTGCTTATTTATTTTTGTGATTCCATCCTTTATTCAAATATTTCATATGATAGTCTTCAGTTTTAAGAACATGTTTTTATTGAAAAGTGCTAGATATTTGTGACGTGGAGCTACTTGACAGTGTGTCTGAAGTCCTTGGGAGGGTGGTCTATAGCCGATTGTTTTTCCTGCTCAAGCCCACACAGAGTAACCAACTTCCTTGATGTTTCTGTAATTTTTGTTTTATGGGTTCATGTGTAGCCTTATGTGAGGGTCTGCATCATTTCTTTGGGTTCAGGGTCTCCCCAGCTGTACAGGTAGCCGGGTTTTTGCTTGTTTCTTTTAAGAGACAGGGTCTCCCTGTGTTGCCTAGGCCTGGTCTGGAATTCCTGGGCTCAAGCAATTGTCCTGCCTCAGTCTCCCAAAGAGTGGGGATTACAGGTGTGCACCCCCATGCCCAGACGGTAGCTGGGGTGGGAGCTGCAGCTCCAGGGGCAGGCAGGCTTGGGATGCAGGTGTTCAGGGGAGTCCTGTTTCCATCCCCGCCCCACTTGATTTCTGGAAGGTTTCCTTTGCTGGGAGGTGCAACCCCCTTCACGCCTCTTTAATATGGAATCCCAGGTTCCGTTCTGCCTCACAGGGACCACGGCAATGTGTCTCGAGGTTTCCCAGAGCAGCCTGGGGCTCATTCCTTCATCTCCCATCCATGCATGCGTTTTAGTCTTGTGAGGATTCCCTGAGTTCCTTGCGAAGCCCGTGTGTGGTGAGGTGTCTGAGTCCTAGTGCTGGTGTAGCTGGGGGGGCTTTTCCAGATGGTTGTGCCGCGCTGGTCATGCACATGTCGCCACGTCACACTGATGGAAGGAGAGAAAACCTGGAAGCATAGCAGTGGCAGGGCTCAGCCTTTAGTGCTAGAAAAGGTGTTGATAGATGGGGAGCTACCTCCCGCCCAGAGAGGAAGGGCCTGGGAGCCACTCCTCTGTGGAACCCTCACCCTGGTGTGCAGCTCACCCAGCACCCTTCCCTGCTGGTGTCTGGTGCACAGTGGGTCCTGCACGCACCAGCATCGCCCACACACACCGTGCACGTCGTGGAACGGTCCTGTGAAAAACAGCCCCTGGTTGCACACGGGGTTGTGGACTGTTGGGAGGAAGCATCGATGCTGTTTCTCACATGATTTTTCATCCTGTGGATTTTCATTCAGTTGTGACGTATTTCCAATGAAACCAGGAGTAGTCGTATTGCAGTCCTATATTAACCTCTGTTCTTGAAAAGAAACCACGTGATTTATCGTTTTCTCTGCAGCAGTAATTCAGATTGAATTTTTCTATGGTTTTTAACCATATTGTGACTACGTGTAAAGGTAGTTGCAGATTCTTTTGTATTTGGACCTGGAGTTAGACTGAAAGCAAATAGGATGTAGGCGAGGGTCTGTTTCTAATTAAAGCAGGTTTTCCCGACAGGGCTGTTCCGAGCCTCCATCAGTGCTCTGGGTCCTGGAGAGTCGGAGGGTCAGCTCTGGGAATTAGATTCATGTTCTAGGCCGAGACCCAGGAGCCAGAGGAGCTGGGGCCACTCACCCTCCGTGCGCCTCGGAAGCTGAGTGTGAAGCTCTGCTCTTCTTTCCGTCATGGCTGCGGCCGGATTTCCTCGCACATCCTATTGCACGGCCTGCCTCACAGCTGCAAGCGCACCTTCTCATGGGACTTAGGAGGCCAGGGCTGGGGGACAATCCCTCACACCCCCACCCAGGGCAAAAGTGACAAGACTTTTAGGGATTTCGCCCCTATTCACAGACAGGCATGCATTGCCCAGCCCCTGTTAGTGATCAACAGTGGGGCCCCGCCGGGCTCTGAGGGCGGAGGTCTGGTGGGAAGCCTCGAGTGTGTTTGCTGCGACTGATCTTTTGTTGCTTGACTGTTCCTCTGTGTCTCAGCCATGTTTGACCGTGAGAACAAGGCCGGTGTGAACTTCAGCGAGTTCACGGGTGTGTGGAAGTACATCACGGACTGGCAGAACGTCTTCCGCACGTACGACCGGGACAACTCCGGGATGATCGACAAGAACGAGCTGAAGCAGGCCCTTTCAGGTTTCGGTAACTCACTCATCCTGGCTTGTGTAGCGTGTTTCATTTTGGAACCTAGGAGCCGTTGAAGTTTTTTAAACCTTGTTGAACTTAACTGATTGTCTAACCAGGCTATGTAAAGTTTTTGTTGACATCATGCAGGTTCGTATTTGATATTGCTCATGTCGGAAGGCAATCCTTGACACGGACACGTTTATGCAGTTTTTTATCCAAAATGAGATAAGGGCTATGCAAGCCATTCGTCTTTTGTGAAGTGGAATGATGTTACGAGCAAAACTGAGAATGTGGCTTTTGAAATCATTTAAAAGTGGATCCGTGAAAATACCGTGGGGCAGGGCAGCTTATATTTCATGATAGATCAAAGCGTGTTGAAAAGGTGACAGTCAACCTAAGAAACAGCTGTCAGTCACCAGGTCCAAACCGTGCGCCTCAGAAGGGGCGTCAGGCAGATTGCGTGCCCATTCTCAAGTGTGCTCGGCGTGTGTGTGCTCGGCGTGTGTGTGCGCACACGTGTGCCGTGCACCTCAGAACAGCATCAGAGAGGCAGAGCACGTGATCATTCTCAAGTGTGTTCCGCAGGTGCGTACTGTGTGCATGTGTGCTGAGCGCGTGTGCACACACGTGTGACGGTGTGCCGTGGGTCTAGGAGTGTTTACAGGGCCCGTCCAGAGTGCGTCCATAGGGCCTGTCCACGGGGCTTCCTGTGCTAGTCTCAGGTCTGAGAAGAAGCAGGGGTTCTATTTACAGAGGAACAACGGACATGTTTGGGGCCAGCCTGAGGCTCTTGGTGGCTGCACCGAGATTCTAATCCAGGCGGATTTCATCTGGCCCCTGGTATGAAGCCGCTTCCGTGATTTACTTAAAAGGCTCCTTAGAAACAGTGAGGAAAATTCGATTCTACTTGAGTACCTCTGAGATAACTGGAGTCTCACTTACCTAAGCACGCCGCCTCTCCTCGCGTTTCCTCCCAGCATGCACTTTATGGCTGCCTTTCTTTCTCTTCTCTTTCTCACCTTACAAGCTTGTCCACAGGGCTGGCTATGCACACTGGGTCTCAAGAAGCAGTTCTGAGGTGACCAGCTGCGAGCCAGGATTTGGGCTGGATGGCTCTGAATTGGCACTTGGAATGCAGCTGACCTTGCTGTGTCCTTGGGTGGGGGAAGTGGAGGGAACCCTGGCCGGCTCCTCTTCCCTGGGGCAGGTACGGAAGGGCTGGGAGGGAAGGATGCCACCCTCCACAGAGAGCGGTCCTGGGGCCGGGGAGGCCCGTGCTGCCGAGTGTGGCCAGGGCCACATGGACTTCAGGACCAGCCTGGAGTTATTTTTAGACAAGCGACCTCTGGTGCCACAGACATCTTTTCCCAACCTTGTCAGGCCCCGGAGCTCCCTTTGCCTCGTGCCAGTGACCACCGGTCCTCAGAATGCGCAGTGGAAGTTGCTACGGACGGTGCTGCCTGCTCTCTGAGGCCCTCTTCGTCCTGGTCTGGCGAAGGACTGCCCAGAAAACTGTGCTGAACTGTGGTGGGAGGCACGGCCAGTCACACAGCCTTCCTGGTGCCCCGGAGCGGGCAGGCCTCCTTGTGCTGCACGGTGGCAGAGCCCTTCCTGACTTCCAGGCTTTTCCTGGGTGCGGTGCCCATCGCAGAGCTTTCTCTGGTCACCCTGGCAAGTTTCCTGGGTGCGGTGTCCCATCGCAGCGCTTTCTCTGGTTACCCTGGCAAGTTTGCTTCTACGCTTGGTTCTTGATGTCCAGGACCATCTCCCACATCTTCCGTGGAAAGGGGCATTGTCATCCTTTTTGTATTTTGATTATTTCAAAAGATTTCCTATAATAACTGTTAGGAAGTCGGCCCCAGAAGCAAAAATTCTTCTTTTGTCTTGGCCCTTACGAGCAAGTGTTCTGCTCTCAGATGAAGCAGGGAGGCTGCACTTGAGCTCAGGGGCCGGCACAGGGAATCACCAGGTGGTGGAACCTGCGAGATTTCTCCCCGGGTGTCTCTGACGGGGCCACGTGTGGATTTTATAATCCACCCGTTTGTTTTTTAAGCCTTTACTGTTAACATCAACTGTGTGCCACGCCCAGAGACCGGAAGTGAAGAGGTGAGGAAGGCGTCCGCACATTCGGGCACCCATCACCGGCGCCCGCCGGCCGACTCAGCACGTGCCGTCAGGTTGCCGTGAACAGCCAGCCAGACTCTCCCCTCTGGTGGGCAGTGGGTGTCTGAGAAAGGCAGTTGGGCGGAGAACAGCTCCGCCGCCGTGGCCCTTTGCCACTGTACCAGGCAGTTGGGCGGAGAACAGCTCCGCCGCCGTGGCCCTTTGCCACTGTACCAGGCCCCGCAGAGCTGGGGGAGCCCCAGGGAGCCTCGTCCTGTTGAGTGGGGGCAGCTTGTATTTCCCTGGAGGTGGAATGGATGAGATTTCCAAGGAGGTCACGGCTCTGCTTGCTGGTTCACCACATTTCAGAGAGTCCGAACGAGGAGAATGACCTTGGAAACGGGCGTGTCGGGGGCGGGCCCAAGGGTGCTGGTCGTCTCACATGGGCTGACTTTCATTAACAGAAACTCAGAAGCAGTTGCGGTTGGGTTTTGGCTTCTCAGATAAACATTCTTCTTGTAGTTCGTTTGTTCCTCCCTCATTTTACTAGTCTGACTTTGCCTTTGTTTTTCCTTCACTGTTACTGATGACCAAGGACGCTGGAAGTTAATTCCAGAGGCAGAGGGGTTGCTCCTGTTGTCTGTGCAGACTGGAATTCCTGTGCCTCTGTCAGCATCTCCACTGTCCTTCCCCAGCCTTGGCAGGAGGCCAGTAATGACCTCTGTCCCCTGTGCACCCCAGTGATGGCCTCTGTCCCCCATGTACACCATTGATGGCCTCTGTCCCCCTTGTACCCCAGTGATGGCCTCTGTCCCCCTTGTACCGTAGTGATGGCCTCTGTCCCCTGTGCATTCCCAGACAGAAGTGTCCCTGTGGCCGTGTCCCAGGCTCTGTTCTCAGCAGGCCGGGCTCAGCCCTGGTACAGGTGCAGGGAGTGAGGAGGTGGGAATAGTAGGGACCAGAAGAAGTGGCAGCTGTTCACAACTCTGCCATTTCTTTCTGAATGTAACAGGAGGTCCTGTCTTCTCAGCTTGCAGGGAAGGAGGGTCCGAAGCAACTCCACTGTTGCACGTTTAGGGACCCCTGAACTTAAATGGCAGAACGCCCTGACCACTCTGGAAGGCACTGTGTTCATGTGTGTGTGCTTGACTCTATCCGTGAGGGGCTGTTTGTGCAGGCGATTAACTGTGAGATTCAGACAGTAGGTGCACACATCCCTGCAGAGATTCCAGCAGGGCTGAAAACCAGTAAAAACAGATCGGCACCTGGATCTTGCCTCCTGAGTCAGTAAGGCTGCCACAGTCACGAAGGCAGTGGGATTTCGAGGGAGGGAAGGGAAGGAGGCAGGCGGGGCGTGCTCTCCAAGGTGCCCGAACACACCTGCTGCCTCCACACATCTTCAGAGACCTCTCCCTGTGGGAGGCCTTTTTCAGGACAGGCTCAGTGAACTGGAAACGAAATCCTAGCCCTTGGTGGCCCTGCAGTGACTTGGACCTTTCCGAGGTCACCCTGCCACTGTGCCCGTCAGTCCCTCATGGCAGGTGGGGCACATCCCCCAGACACTCCCATTTCTTGACATTGACACTTTGTATAACTGGAAACCTTCTGTGAAATTTTAGTTTTCAAAGCGTTGTCTGGTGACAAGCAACCCAGGGCGGCGAATCATTCAGAATTTTCTTATCTAGGTTAATAAACATAATAAAATCAATAAGGACTTTGAAAGTAACTCCACTGGGTTCACGAAACTGAGCGTGGCCGCCCTGTGGGGTGGTGGTTGGTGAGTGCTTCCCTGGGGTGAGTAGTTAATTCACGAGAGTGACCGATGGCAACGTCCCACTCGCTCCTCCTTCCAGGGTCATGGTCTCGAGGGGTCGCTCCATGCACTGCAGATGTGAGCTCATTACACAGCGACGTATTCGGGAAGTGTCTCAGTTCTGAGTGCCTTTGAGTGAATTTGCACTTCCGTTCACACCCAGCCTTGCATCGTGTGTGTTAGAGGCTGTGGGCCTTGGGAGGGAGGGGTGGGCGTTGGCATGTACCTCCCGTCTCTCCCAGCCCTCTCTGACTCCGACTTTCACTCTTCAAGGCTACCGGCTCTCTGACCAGTTCCACGACATCCTCATTCGAAAGTTCGACAGGCAGGGACGGGGACAGATCGCCTTCGACGACTTCATCCAGGGCTGCATCGTCCTGCAGGTGACGGAGTGGCTTCGCCTGGGTTTGGTGTGGTGGTGGGAGGGGTTCGCTTGCCAGCGTGATGCACCTGACCTTCAATCCAAGGAGTCAGGCGTATGTAGAATTAGTTTTTGGAGCTTATAAGAGTGAGTCTCATCTTTGGAGAAGTAGCTGGTTAGTGGAAGTGTAGACAAACATGTTTTCCTCCCCTTGGAAATGGCATAGAGAGCCCATCTGGGAGACGCTGTTTTTGCAGTATCCGGTGGGTTAGTTACACGT